TATATATTTTATATTTTCCTAAACAATAATACGGGTTTTCGGGTGTATTATTCGGTTGTTCGGTTGTTGGGCTTGGAACCGAAGCCCGCACCGATTATAAACGGTTGATGCGTAAAACCGTTTCTTGGGCCCGAAGCCCGTTTGTAACCGCACCGCAAGCCCAATTTTGCTGCGGTTGTCGGGCAACCGATCGGTTGCCCGCGTGCGTGCCCACCCCTACCTAGCAGGGTTAGGGAAGATATCTCAATGGATTTCATTGAAGGATTGCCTACCTCTAAAGCTAAAGCAGCTGTACTAGTGGTAGGATACCAGTTTAGAAAAAACAGTCATTAGTGTTTGGCAAAGGTTAAAAAGCACTTGCTTAAAAGGCAAATTCTTCTCTTACAAATTTGAAATTCTGTTAGAGGAAAATTCAAAAATTGACATTTGAAATGGCTTTTAAGGAAGTTTTGAGAAAGCTACACATCTAGGCTTTTTCCAAACTTGCTTAAAACCATCTTGAAAAGCCAATTTTTGAATTTCCCTCCATAAAAAATTTGAATTTGTAAGAGAAGAAGTTGCTTTTAAAGCAAATGCTTTTCAAGCTTTGCCAAACACCCATCAGTGCTTTTTAGGAATTTGCTTTTGAATTTCTGGCTCTAGCTCACCCATATACAGCTTCTAAAGTGGCAGAGTTGTTCTTGCATCATATCTACAGGTTGCATGGGATGCCAAAATCTATAGTAAGTGATGGGGATCCAACAAAGGACACATAAAAGACGATCCCAAAATCTGGTTTCCATTTGATATAATCAGTTTCTACAAGTGTACCATGCAGTTGATGATGTTCGGTGGAATGATATTCAACCAAAAGAAAGAGATAGCACGTACCTTGACATTCCACTTATTATCAACCAAAAGGTTTGGTGACTTTAAATCCCGGTGAACAATCATGGGCTCGTGGGTGTGTAGGTAATTCATACCCCTTGCCTGAAAATAAAGCAAGATATGAATATGATATATTGGTTAAATTCTAGTTAACAAATATTGTATAGATAATTATTTTCATACCACATCAAGAGCCATTCTTATTTTATGTTCCTTATCTATTTGACAACTAGGATCATGAAGAATGGCATCCAAGTTTCGTCTGGAGAAACAAATATCAGTCACCAATTAGATATAGATGCAAAAGATAACACAACTCAGTGAGAAATTTGACAACAAAATGAAGGTGCAACCTCATACCCTTGAATAAACTCAGTCACAATAGAGAGATTTGGAGGACGATCAACAGCCCCAATAAAACGAACAATATTTGGATGGCACAGTCCATGCATTATCAGCACCTTAAATGAAAGAGGAAAACAAATAATCAATGTCAGTTGGCCAGGTTCAAAAGTCA